AAAATAAAACCTCACAAAAAAAAAAAAAAAAAAAAAAAACACTACACTGTATTTCACTCTTTTTTTTCCAAAGAAACTGAGTTGAGGAAACAATTAGCTGAAATCTTTTCATTTGTCCTGTTTTACATATGGTTAAAGAGCCTTGTTAGTAGCAAAATAATATTAAAGAAGTAAAGAAGGATAAAAGAAAGGAAGGAAGGCAGAGAAGAAGAGGGAGAAGAGGGAGGGAGAGAGTAAGGAAGTGGGAAGGAAGGGAATAAGATGGCAGGAGTGTTTTTTGTTTGTTTTTAGTTTTTGCTCTAGAGCATGGGTGCTTACTGGAGAGAGACAGAGACAGAGAGAGACAAAGAAAGTGAGAAATCAACACCCCCTCCCCAGGGGGATAGCCATGTTGTAGTACCTTCTCCTCTCAGGATTTTGGGCACCCATGCACACGTGCCCAGTGTGATTTTCAAGCTGCTGAGGCTGGTAGTCAAACTACAGAGTTGGCTACACCTACTGGCCCTAGAGGGTTTATTTGATGTTTTTTTTTTAGCCTCCATTTACCCGCAAAATGGAGAACAGCCATTACTTACCATAACCATTTTGCCATCCTTTATTTCTCTTACAAACTTTGTCTCTTTGCCATCCCATTTCTGTACATGAACAAGTTTGTCTCCATCCAGGCTAACAACAGACTGAGAGCAACAACAAAATGCAAAACAAAACAGTAAATAGAAGTCACATTTCTGATAGGGAAGTCAAATGATGTGTTTTTTCAAAGAGTTGTATAATTGGATAGATCGTATCAACTCACTATCCTATTAGTACCATACCCTTTCTTACTTCTAGATTTGCTATTATGTTAACACTAATAATTCATACTAATCTCATCAAGCTTTTCTCCCAGATGGAAACTTTTCTCTGTGTTCTCGAAATGGGTCTATCTAGACACAAAAGCTTCATATATTAGAAATAAAAATCCTGAAGTAGAGCTTCTCAACTAGTAACCCTCTCATTTAAGCAAAGCATTTGATGGAGCAAATTGTTTAATAGGCAATCTGAGGCTACCAGAGAGATTAAACAAAGTGGAATCATTCTTTAAAAGAACTCTTTCTAAAATAAGTTTTATATGAAACATGAAAATCGTGGCATTCAAGATCTGAGCTAAAACAAGGATCCATTGTTCAGAACAGAATATATGAACACTAGAATATGCAATTAACCAGGCGTCCTTCTCTCTGAGTTGAAATGCTGAAAACATTTTCCACTTCCCAACATCTATGGTAAAAAGAAGAAGCCTTAGGCATCTTTATCTTTGATTCCCCCTTCCTATCCCCACCCCGAGAAGCAGCTTCTTACCTTACAATTTCTGTCATCCACAGTGGTTTCATCAAACTCTTCTCCCAGATGGAAACTTATCTCTGTGTTCTTGAATGTGCTTTGAGTTCTGATCACCACTTTGTCTCCTTCCTGACTGATAATCACTGTGGGTTTGGTCACATTTCCCACCTGCCGAGTGGCGAAGCCCACACCTAAAATAGTAAAAGGAAGCAGTACAGTTGGAAAAAACTTCCAAAGTAGCTCTCAAACCAGGAATCTGCTTTCTGATCCCAGAATCCAGGTTCTAAAATGTCAAGTCAATAGAGCGTGATCAGTACACTAATCACGCAGAGTGACTCCGGAGCACAAATAATCATTGGTAGCTAAAGGAAAAAAGTTACAGAAGCTTCACATTCTCCGCAGATTATCAAATGTCCCATTGTCCTAGGCAAGAAAGCAGGCAAGTGTCACATTAGCAATCCATTCAGTGATAATACATGGCCTAGCATCTGATTAGGCAATGTGTCTGTCTTTGTCTCTTGCTAACTTGATGAGTGAAGAAAGAAAAGGAATCTGCAAGTATCTGAAGCTGCAGGTTAAAAAGAAAATTGCAAGTCTGATTTTTACCTACCGAGAGCCTTCATGTACTCATCAAAGTTCTGACTGTCCGTCAGCTTCCAAGTAGCACAGAAAGCCTCCACCATCCTTGCCCTTTCCCCGTCTAGTTTTGAAACAGATAAAAGAATCAGGAGCGAAAATCTTTCAGTTTTACTGCCACTGTAATTCGGAAGACCTCTTTGTACCTCAGCAGCAGCCCCTGCCTTCTTATTTAGGAGGAGGTGGGCAGGAAGCCAATAATTTGAATTACAAACACACCCCACTTAGTGTCCCTCTTTATAGGAGGCTGTCACAGAGAGGGATGGGAAGGAGGGCTCCAGTAAGGTCTGAATCCTCTTTGTGATTGGCTCAGGCCACTGGGTTAGCGGAGCAGCCCTTCTGCCTGAGAAAGCTCTGCAGGGATTCTGGGGGGCTGTAGGCAGGGTACAGCAAAATGAGAGAGGGTCTTTCAGGATCAGCGAATAAACCTTGGCAAAGGCAATGTCAGACTGTGAGGAAAGAAAAAAGATGCACAATAGGACATTCAGATTGATTTCCGTTCATGGCAAAGCTGGTTACAAATGAGGAGACTGTTAAAGCAAACTACTGAACTGCCAGATTTCTCAGACAAAGGAGGCTGAATGGTGGTTTTTTTTTCCCTCTCGTATTTACAAGGGGAGCAAAACGCAAGCTGGAAGATGCCAAACTGGAAGTGGGAGAGGGGGGAGTGTAAATGCCTTCCCTAGATATGTGACTAGAAGGTTGTTGACTGAGTGATGATCAATGGGACACTAACTAATTTTGGCCCCTTCCCAACACAACTGAGAGAATTTAAAGATCTCATTGTCCTTTCTAAGAATGTGAGAACCAGACTGAGATGGAAAAGGGAGTGTGGTTAGGATTCCCTAATGAGGTACAAAAATAAAGAGCGCTCTTTCCCCCTCCTTTGACAGATTATAGAATCCGTGTGGAAAAGCTGCACAGAAGATCATTTAGTAAGATTGCAAATGATCTGTACTGTAGGACCTTTTGCTTTCCTGAGGCCACATCTACATGAGCACAATCGTGGAACACTTCAGGAGTTAGCAACAGGGGAGGACAGAAATTAGAGGAATTGTGGGAATCAGATGAGCTTTGACTTCTAATTTTCCTGGGTCGAGGTACCCTAAGAATGGAAAAAATGCTTTGAGAGTCTATGTAGAGTATTTTAAAAGATCACTGCAAGTCCACTTCATGCAGAGATTCTTCCTGCTTTACAAATGCAGTCAACTGGTGAAAAGCTCTCTGCCCCTCAGAGACCCAACAGAGCAATCTGACTTGTCAGTCCCTGCCCTTCCTCTCCCTTCCCATGTAAACCTCAACTCACTACATTTCCACTTCTGTCTCACAAAACCCAACAGGCAAGGCTGGAACACATCCCACAGCAACTGCTAGCTACACAATTCTTTTGTTTTTCAGAAGTACTTGTTTCACATCAACTATAGTTCTTTTCCAGCTCTTCTAGTGATTTTCACTATAGGGCACCACTATCCTTCCAAATGCACAAGCCGGAAATCTTAGAATCATTTCTAATAGTTTACTTTCTAAAATCAGACTCCATGTTAAGGTCTATCTATTTTGACCCTGAATATACTTCTAATGTGTCATTCTCTTCCCATTTTCAAAACTGTTGTCTTAAGCTAAGCAACCACTGGTTTTTACCAGTTCTATGGCAATATCCTAACTGTTTCTCTTGATGCCAATCCTTCCGCTATCCTGGAGCCTGAGGGAGCTTTCAAAATACAAATCTGCATCTCCCTGGTAACTAATGATGTTGCACATTTTCATGTACTTCTCTGTTATTTGCATATCTTTTTTGGTGAAATGACTATTCAAATCTTTTGTCCATTTAAATTGTTTTTTTTTTCTTTACTACTGCATTGTAAGAGTTCTCTATATATTCTGGATAAAAATCATTTCTTGTGGTGGCATGGAGGTTGAGGTGGCTGGATTCCACTTGGCCAGCTGTGCAACTCCTATGAATCTCAGACCTGGAGGTTTGGAAAAACATGCTGGGCACATGTGTGTGTGCACCCAGAATCCCAAGAGGATAATTGAGGAAAGCAGATTGCAGCATGGTCATCCCCTGGGGTGTAATTCCTCACTTTCTCTTTTTCTCTCTCTCTCTTCCCCTCCTCTCTTTGGCAAGTGTACACTCCCTATAGCAAAACTAAAAACAAATATAAAATTGTCTACTGAGTATGTGTTTTGCAAAAATAATCTTTCTTTTCATGTTGTAAATTGTCTTGATTGTTGTCTTAAAGAGTGCTCATTTCTCCCTCCTTTGACAGATTATAGAATCCACTTGGAAAATCTGCACAGAAGGTTATTTAGTAAGATTGTAAATGACCTGTACTGTAGGACAGTTTTCATTTGTGTCAAAAATTATCAAGCATGAATATTAAAGATGTACAATTGACTTTATATAAATTATACTATAGTAAAGCTATTTTTAAATATCTAAATCTGATCTTGTCCCCTTCCTGCCTAAAGCTTTTCTGATGGTTTGCCCCTGCTCTCAGGTTAAAGACCAAACTTGAGAATAGGGGCAACCCATCTGAGACTTGTTCAGGCCCACCTCTGACAGTTGAAAAACTCAGGGTAAGAATCCAAATAATAATAAAAATTATAAAGTGAACAATGCCCATAGCCTGGCCTAATATTCATCAGGACTCAAAACCTGCCCCAACCCTCTCCCCAAGGGCTGGATTTCTGCAGCCCTGAGCAATATCTGGGGTCAATGCAATATGGGTAATGGAGTTTGATGGGATAGAGGGATGAGGACAAGAAAAACAAGGCAAAACAGAACAGAACAAAAAGAATTCATTATATTTCCCTTGGTTATATGAAATTTTCCATATTGCTTATTTTTTTAAGAGAGATTTTTGCTATAGTATGCCTGCACTCACTGCAGAGAGAGAGACAAAGAGACAGAAAGCAAAAAAATCACCCCCAGGGGGATGATCATGCCGTAATTCCTTCTCCTCCAGTCTCCTCTCAAGATTTTGGGCTCACACACACATACACCCAGCATGAGTTTCAAGCCACTAAGTCCAGGATTTGAGTTGTAGTTGGCCAGGTGAGAGACCAGCAACCTACCAATTATGCCATCTGCTGGTTCCTTTTATTGTTTTTGGTTTGTTTGTTTTGCCAGAGGGCACATGCACTCGCTGAATAGAAACAGGGGTGGTGTTGAGTGGGAAAGCATCCCCCAAGGGAATGGCCATGCTACAATCCCTTCCCCTCCATTCTCTTTTTGAGATTTTGGGCATGCATACACAAGTACGTGGCATGTTTTTCAAGATGCTGGGTCTGGGACTTGAACCACATAGTAAACCATGTGAGATCCCACTGCCTTAACCACCACATGACCACTTGGTCCTTATTGCACTTTAAAGACCAACAAAGGGATGTATCTCTAGACTTGAACATTCTTGAAAAGAAGTGCTTTTTTTGAGAAATATCCTTCTCATTCCCATTTTCCTTCCATTTTTACCTTCAATTGTCTAAGTACTTTATTCTTCATATTCTCTGAAGCAAGGGATACTAAATAAGTCCTCAGCCTGCTTATAGCTCTGACATGGTGATTTAGAATTAAACTTTGCTTTTTTCAGATCTGCTGTGAAGGAGTTCAGAGATCTTTCCTCCTCAGACCATTGGTATGCCATACTCTGCCAAGAAAACTATCCTCTCTAACACACTAGCTAATTTCCACTTGTCTTTTAAGGTCTCATGCAAATATTATTTTTCAAGGAAGACTGAATTGAAACCTCATGGTTATATTGCCCCATGGTTTCGTTTGTGTCTTTTACACATATATTTCTATTAAATATTTTTAATTAGTTGTATAATATCTTTCTCTCCCATAAAAACAAAAATTCCTTGAAGTATCTGTTTTGTTATTCATTATGCTCTACGCCCATTGCCTGGAACAGTATCAATTTCATGCTATGTGTTCAATGAATGTTAAAAATATAAACCAATACAGAAAATGAATCCTAGATAAAACCAGAAGACTCCAAAAAGCAAGAATTTAAACTATTGGCTATATGGTCTTTTTCCTTTTTTAAAGATTTTGCCATAGGGCATGTGCACTCACCAGTGAGAGAAAGAGAGACAGTGAGAGAGAAAGTGAGAAATCACACACACACACACACACACACCCCAAAGGGAAGGCCATACCACAGTACTTTTCTCCTCTATTCCCGTCTCAGGATTTTGGGCATGTGTGCACACATGCCCAGTGTGATTCTTCAAGCCAGTGGGTCAGAGATGCAAACCATAGTCAGTCATGTGCGATTCCAGGGCTTTAACCACCACTCTACCTGCTGGCCCCATCTATGGTCTTTTTAAAGTCCGTATCCAAACCATTCTTTTGCAACCTCTATGAGTCCCTAGTCAGAATATCTAAGCCCCTTCCTCATGTCTACTCATATCTATCATGTTAATGCTTGGGAGGAAATTAAGGTTTATTGTTTCTTGGGTTTGTTGTTGTGTCCTGAATAAAAACAAAACTTAAAAGAGTCTGAGAGAACTTTCAAATATATGATGGATTTATTAAGTGCAAAATAGGAGAGTATTGTGCCCTGCTGTACGTGGAAACCTGATGTCAATGAGCATGAATGCAAACTGTCCTTTTAATAGATTCTCTGGTTTGTTTATTATAGGTTATTATCTTTTGTAAATCAAAAGCTTAGAAGAATTTTTGTTGCTCTTATTCTGATAACCCTTGAAGATCTCTGCTGTTTACTGAGCACATGAAATACCAAAGCAAGCTTTGAGTAATGATTACCAGAGAGGTAGTTATAAAGAAAGATTAATCTGGAATATGTAAAGATTAAAGAAACCACTTAACCTATTTTTAACAGGAACAGGATTAAGTACAGACAACTGGATACTTATAAAACCCTTGGAGAAGTTGAAGAAATAAGTTTTAGGCTGAACGAAGCTTTCGGAAATATTTCTAGAACACTACCACAGAAACTGGTTTGCTAACATAATTGTTATCTCTGTGAGGGGGCTTAGAAAGTTTATGGGAAAAATGGAATTATGATATGAGTTTATATTGGTCCAAACTTTTTTTTAATTCATGCATAGTTTTTTCATAATATACATTTTTCTGTTACTTTATTGAAAACCCTTTATACCATAATCTGGAGGCTGAAATCAAGAAACTGCTTTCCCACCTGCTGGCTCCAAGAATACCTTACCATAGTTGTTTTCTAGAAATGAGGGAACTTCTCTCAGAAATAT